GGAGCGAAAGAACATCTAATGGAACATCTGGAGCGAAAGAACATCTAATGGAACATCTGGAGCGAAAGAATATCTAATGGAACATCTGGAGCGAAAGAACATCTAATGGAACATCTGGAGCGAAAGAACATCTAATGGAACATCTGGAGCGAAAGAACATCTAATGGAACATCTGGAGCGAAAGAACTTTTAACACAACTTCAGCATGGGTTCAGGGATGGCAAATCATGCCTCACAGGATTAACTGAATTATATGACCAAGCAACAAAAATCAGGCAAGAAAGAGAGGGCTGAGCAGACTGCATATTTTTTTATTGCAAGAAAGCCTTTGACACAGTACCACATAAGAGACTAGTGCCCAAACTGGAGATGCAGGCAGGAGTGAAAGGGAAGGTACTCCACTGGATAAGCGAGTACCTAAACAGCAGAAGGCGGCAAATCACCGTGAGGGGTGAGGTCTCAGATTGGCAAGGCGTCACCAGTGGAGTCCCTCAGGGATAAATCCTTGGACCTATACTGTTTCTGATATATGTAAATGATCTCCTAGAGTGAATAGACTCGTTCCTCTCAATGTTTACTGATAATGAAAAAATTATGAGGAGGATTAAGACAGAGGAAGATTGTATGAGGCTACAAGATGACCTAGAAAAACTGAAGGAATGATCCAACATATGACTCCATTTATTGGAGCCATTGAATGGTCCAACAAATGGCTTGGGGTGAACTAAAGTTCAACCCAAGTAAATGTAAGGAAATGAAACTAGGCTGAGGAAATAAGAGGCCAGACACTGGAAACCGAATGGGAGATGAAGTCCTTCAAGAAACGAACAGAAAGAAAGATCTAGGAGTTGATATCACGCCAAACCTGTCTCCTGACGCCCATATCAAAAGAATAAAATCGGCAGGCGTATGCGAGGCTGGCTAACATCAGAACTGCCTTCAGAAACTTGTGTGAGGTATCACTTAGAACCTTGTATATCACATATATAAGACCAATCCTGGAGTATGCGGCCCCAGCATAGAGCCCGTACCTTCTCAAGCACAAGAGGAAGCTGGAAAAAGTTTAGAGGTATGTCACAAGGCTAGTCCCAGAACTAAGAGGCATAAGTCACGAGGAAAGGCTGAGTGAACTGCACCTCACGTCACTGGAAGACAGAAGAGCTCGGGGAGACATGATCACCACATACAAAATTCTCATGGGAATTGACAGGGTAGATTAGGACGGATTATTTAACATGGGTGGAACACGCACAAGGGGACACAGGTGGAAGCTGAGTACCCAAATGAGCCACAGAGACATTAGAAAGAACCTTTTCAGTGTCAGAGTAGTTAGTAAATGGAATGCATTAGGAAGTGATGTGGTGGAGGCTGACTCCATACACAGTTTCATATGTAGATAACTCGAGAAGCTCAGGAACCTGTACACCAGTAGTTTGACGGTTGAGAGGCGGGACCAAAGAGCCTAAGCTCAACCCCCGCAAGCACAACTAGGTGAGTAAAACACACACACACATAAATACACAGAAAATAAGTTATAATCATGCCAAGTAATTACGAGAGAGGAGTGGAGCCCAGGACACCAGGCCAAGGTTGAGAAGAGTCCCTGAGGCAGCAGAGAGCGTCAACATGGCCGCCAGACACAGTACCTGGGCGGGAAGGTCCTCGCTGAAACCCGTTCTCGCACTTTCTTTAGTCAATATTGACTTATTAAATACGTGCATATGTGACATACTAAACATATTAGTTTACCTTGAAAAGCTTCATAGAAAACACCGACCTTACACGTGAGGAACACAAATGCGAACAAGCCTGAATGGTCCCCAGGCAATTGTGTTTCCATTCAGGCCCTGAATGGTTCAGGCAGTGAACCGAGTCTGACAGGAAGGGAGGCCTGTTTCCACTGTGAGTCGCTGAGGGAATGGTTGAGGGCTTTTTCGAGCATTGATTTCAGCAAGCTGTCGTACTCTTCTAATTTAATATTACTGAAAGATGACGAACATCTAAGAAAGTAGGTCAGCCTGGAGAGGGACAAGCATCTGGTGATGAGATAAAGTGCATCGTGAGCATCGATGTCTTCAATCCTCTCATTCATCCTCTTCAGGTCAGTGATCTTCTTACCAAGGACTTCATCACTGGCATTCCCTCCAAGAGCAGCTCCTAGGAGTGTGCTGTCTTCAGGGTTGGTTATACAAATATCAGGCAAAACAACCTTTATTCGTTCTATTATGTGCTGGTTGGTGGAGGTTATTTCGCACATGGAAGAGTTCAGGGTGAGGCCTAGTCTCGCTCCTTGCTCTTGAATTATTCTTATGTTATCCAGGAGGTAGTCTGGGGAGCCAGCTAGAGTACCATCGTCCAAAACCCAAATGTTGAGCTCATTGGACAGGTTATCGGTTCCTTCCTTGATGACTAGGCAGAAAAGATAAGGAGCAAGGGGATCCTTGCTCCTTATCTTTTCCCAAACAGAACGCCTTGAAAGAAACCAACGTCGTCTATGTCTTCACATGCCCACTTGGGGATTGTCAGCCCCAAAGACCTCAGTATATAGGCAAGACAACAACGTCTCTTTCTAGGCGATTAACAATGCATAAACAACAGAGCTCCATCAAGGAACATATAATCTCCTCACACACCCAGACCATCACCAGAGACATCTTAACAAGCAACACAGAAATTATCGACAGATACAACGATAACAGGAGACTCGACATCAGTAAGGCCCTTCACATCAAAAAGTCAAAACCAGCAATAAACAGCCAATTAACACATAATTACATTCTACCCACTTCAAGACCCGAACCAGAACAGAAGCAAGAAGAAGAACCCATGGTTATATGCCCATTGTATATATCCATTATTTCGTGTTTCATCTTTTGTTTCCTGTCACCTCACCCAAAAATTAATATAAGCACGATCAGAGTAAATAAAGAAATTGTCTTTGAAAATGTAAGAAGTGTTCTAGGCGTCAGGCCACAAATAAAAAGTGAAAATGAATTTTGGAAAGTTAATTTTTCAACTAACCCCCGTCAGTGAAGAAAAACATAAGAAATACCTGTATTGAGAAGATTTTTACCCTTTCTTTCATATTCAACAACATATGTTTACAAGAAAAACTGCTACGAAAATATACTAATATATATATATATATATATATATATATATATATATATATATATATATATATATATATATATATATATATATATATATATATATATATATATATGCAACAATGATCACAAAAACACTGATCCAAGTATGCAGAATAACCACATATGAAAAATAGAAAATGCTTAACGCGTTTTCGGCTAATTCGCCTTCATCAGAGCAAAGTAGAATGAATATATATTCGTCTAGGTGAGCTCATCTATAAAAACGCCCTTTACACTGTACCTCACAAACAGTTACTATACAAAGTGAAAGAAGAGTGGTGAGCTACGTGGGAGCATCTGAGTAAGAGAAGACTGGAAGAAGTAAGACTGACTGGAAGACTGGAAGAAGTAAGACTGACTGGAAGACTGGAAGAAGTAAGAAGGAAGAGCTGAGTGGTGGTGGTTTAAGATCTTCAGCCCTGCCAGTGACAGCCTGCACGGCCACGCTGGCACCACATGCTTCATAACTAAGGAACAGGAAAAGAGAACTGAGTATACTTGCAGAATACTTGAAGAAGATCTGAACACTCCCGAGACGATTCGTATACACTGTTGTTGAGCTTCCACTCACACTTATGTAAAGTGATGACGACTTATGTAAAGTGATGACGACTTATGTAAAGTGATGACGACTTATGTAAAGTGATGACGACTTATGTAAAGTGATGACGACTTATGTAAGGTGATGACAATGTGGGCAGGAGACAGGAGACCACGTCGACGTGCAGGCGACGAGTCACAATAACGTGGCTGAAGTATGTTGACCAGACCACACACTAGAAGGTGAAGGGACGACGACGTTTCGGTCCGTCCTGGACCATTCTCAAGTCGATCTATCATCGACTTGAGAATGGTCCAGGACGGATCGAAACGTCGTCGTCCCTTCACTTTCTAGAGTGTGTGGTCTGGTCAACACACATCGACGTCAAGTACACTATGAATAGGCAACACCTTTCACAGTCTGAAAAAGAAAAATAGTTTCTAAGTGTACTTAATACTAAGCCTGACACCGAAATCACCTATACAAACACGCAACATATAGCGCACTGGGGGTCGAAGTCCTAAGGGTCCGGGTTCGATCCCCGGCAGAGGCAGAAACAAATAACCAGATTTTCTTTCATCCTGATGCCCCTTGTTCACCTAGCAGTAAATAGATACCTGGGAGTTAGACAGCTGATTCGGGCTACTTCCTGGGGAGGTGTGTGTGTGTGTACGTGTGTTAGAGAGAAATATGTGTAGTAGAAAATAAATTGGTTAGAAAGGCAGGGTTATCTTGAGATGATTTTGATTTGATTTCTTGAGGTCCAAGATTTGATTTCTTGATTCCTCAGGGTCCAAGAGCTAACAGCATGATTCAGCAGATACAAATACTAAATACAAATAGTAAATATAGATACACACAAACAATAGAGATTGTTGTGTGTGAGAGATCACTTGTAGTTTCACAAGTTTGTAAAACTAATCATACAGAGAAGACGCAACACTACGAATGGAATCAGAAATGTTATCAAATTAAATGCTAAATACGACCCAGGGAAAGTTAGTGTGGTGGGCTGTGGGCGTCGTGGAGCAGCATAGATGGACAGAAGGCATCATATGCAGACCCATCACCCCTGACAACACACGTTCCTTATGACACGACCAAGGTCAGAGTGGCGGTACTCGTCCAATCACTCTCTCTCTCTCTCTACTAACCTACCTTGAATTTCTTCAGTGTCCGTTCATCACTTGTCATGCTCACCACCAATACCTCGCTTTCTCATTGTTCACCACCTTTAAATAGCCTGTTCATCACCTGTTCATCACCTGTTCCTCTCTGTTCAGTAACACAGTTCTCTCCCGTCACAGAGTACCCGTGACGACGCTGTCAGAGCTCTCAAATTCAACAATGGAGATAAGAAGGTAAATATGCTTTAACAATTCTTATTCGTGGAAGAGTTTGAATTCAACATTAACCACGTGTTATAAATTGGTAGAATAGATTATAGTGATGAAATTGCATGTCTTAAGTACTAAATTGGGCGAGTGTGAAGCACTTTGTTCTCCACTGATAAAACAGCGAAACATATGAACAAAGAAATCTAAAAAGTTTTAAAAACACAGAGAGCTGAACAACCAGAAACGTCCATACAGCAAGCACACCCTGAACATCCTGAACATAGCACCGAATGAACAGGAATTAAGAACAAAACAAAAATATGTTTTCATGCAACACATTGAATTGCATGAAAACAAAAACAGGAGATTATATAAAACAAAATGTTGAAATCACACACACAAACACCCTCCCTCTCCTCCCCTCCCCTATCCCTCACTCTCCCTCTACCTTCCTCTCTCCCACGCTGTCCCTCCCTCTCCCTCACTCCCTCGCTCTCCCTCACTTTCTCCCTCTCCCTTACTCCCTTACTCCCTCGCCCCCTCCCTCTCTCTCACTTCATCCCTCTCCCTCACTCTCCCTCACTCCCTCCCTCTACCTCACGCCCTCCCTCCACCGTACTCCCCTCTCACACACACACACACACACACACACACACACACACACACACACACACACACACACACACACACACACACACACAGACACACACACACACACACCCTGCAGACCTAGGAAACAGGGTTGGTTCAACATAAAATGCGAGAGGGCCAGAGATCAATAGACACAAGCATGAAATCATTATAGTAAGAGGTCAAACCCTCAAACATACCAGTGATACAAAGATGCAAGAAACAGCATGGATGGCGATATGCGACTAGAAGACAGAAGAAAAAGAGGTGATATGATCACTACATACAAAATAGTAACAGAGACTTCCTGAGACCTGGGAACTTTGAGAACGGTATAACAGATAAATGTAAATCAGATCAAGGCCTTTTCTATAAATTCATTAAAACCAAGCTGCAGGTAAAGGATAATATTCAGAGGTTGATAATGGGAGACAGATACACGGAAAATTAAAAGGAAATGTGTGAAACATTAAACGAAAAGTTCCAAAGTGTGTTTGTACAAAATGAAATCTTCAGAGAACCAGACACAATAAGAATTCCAGAGAACAACAAAGAGCACATAGAGGTGTCTAGAGACGACGTGGAAAAAATGCTCTTGGAGCTAAATAAGAACAAAGCACTTGGCCCAGATGGAGTTTCACCATGGGTTCTGAGAGAATGTGCACCTGAGCTCAGCATTCCACTTCAGCTGATTTTTCAGACATCCCTGTGTACAGGAGTCGTAGCAGACGTGTGGAAAAAGGCTAACATAGCTCCAATCTACATAAGTAACAGCAGGGAAGACCCCCTTAATTATAGACCTGTATCATTGACAAGTGTAAAAGTCAAAATATTGGAAAAAAATAATTAAAACTAAATGGGTGGAAGACCTGTAGAGAAACGATATATCAGACAGACAGTATTGTTTTCGATCTGGAAGATCCTGTGTATCGAATTTACTCAGTTTCTATGATCGAGCCACAGAGATATTACAGGAATGAGATGGTTGGGTTGACTGCATCTATCTGGACCTAAAAAAGGCTTTCGACAGAGGTCCACATAAGAGGTTGTTCTGGAAACAAACATATTGGAGGGGTGACAGGTAAGCTGCTAACATGGATGAAAATTTTTCGGATAGAAAAATGAGGGCAGTAATCAGAGGCAATGTATCGGACTGGAGAAATGTCACAAGTGGCGTACCACAAGTGGAGTCACCAGAGGAGTCCCACAGGGCTCTGTACTCGGACCTATTCTGTTTCTGATATACGTATATGATCTCCCAGAGGGTATAGACTCATTCCTCTCAATGTTTGCTGACGACGCCAAAATTATGAGAAGGATTAAGACAAAGGAGGACAGGTTGAGGCTTCAAGAAGACCTGAACAAGCTGCAGGAATGGTCGAACAAATGGTTGTTAGAGTTTAACCCAACCAAATACAATGTAATGAAGATAGCTGTAGGAAGCAGGCGACCAGATACAACGTATCATTTGGGAGATGAAATACTTCAAGAGTCAGAGAGAGAGAAAGATCTGGGGGTTGATATCACGCCAGACCTGTCCCCTGAAGCTCATATTTATTTATTTATTTATTTATTTATTTATGCATATACAAGAATGTACATAAGGAATGTGAGGATACAATTATGGTAATTACAGTCTTGTAAAGCCACTAGCACGCGCAGCGTTTCGGGCAGGTCCTTAATCTAAGAAAATTTTAAGGAGGTAAATACTTGCAAAATTTATAGACAAAAAAATGATAACAGATTACATGGAATGAGAAAAAAAAAAAAGATGAGAGAAAATTATAGGTACAGTATATTAAAGCACATAGGTAGCTATGATTGATTGCAATGACAGCTTAAAATGGTAGTTGACAACAAATTGGTAGGCACAATACAGCAGAAACAATATAAGATTGATTGCAATGACAGCTTGAATGGTAGTTGACAAAAATTGGTAGTCACAATACAGCATATGGCTAGCACATAAAAGAAGACAGCAATGAACACAATGATAAGGTTGTTTGATATTACATAAAAATTAGGAGATTGGGTACCACTAGGTACAGAGCAAATTTAAAGCTCAGTGTAGGAAACTAAATAGATGAAGTTAGGTACTTTTTGGTTTTGCTTTTAATAAGGCAAAAGTTTTACAGTTTTTCAATTCACTAGGGAGTGAGTTCCATAGACTAGGTCCCTTAATTTGCATAGAGTGTTTACACAGATTAAGTTTGACCCTGGGGATATCAAAGAGATATTTATTTCTGGTGTGGTGATAATGGGTCCTATTACATCTGTCCAGGGAGAGTTATCAAGAGGATAACATCAGCGGCATATGCCAGGTTGGCTAACATAAGAACGGCCTTTAGAAATTTGTGTAAGGAATCTTTCAGAACTTTGTATACCACATATGTCAGACCAATCCTGGAGTATGCGGCTCCAGGATTGCACTAGGAGGACACAGGTGGAAAATGTGTGCCCAAATGAGCCATAGAGACGTTAGAATGAATTTTTTCAGTGTCAGATTAGTAGACAAAAAGAATGCATTAGGCAGTGATGTGGTGGAGGCTGACTCCATACACAGTTTCAAGTGTAGATATGATAGAGCCCAGTAGGCTCAGGAACCTGTACATTAGTTGATTGACAATTGAGAGGCGGGACCAAAGAGCCAGAGCGCAACCCCCACAAGCACAATTAGGTAATTACAATTAGGTAATTAGGTAAGTACAGGGTTCAGTTCTTGCACCGGTAATGTTCATTGTCTACATAAACGATCTACCAGATGGAATATAGAATTATATGAACATGTTTGCTGATGATGCTAAGATAATGGGAAGGATAAGATGGGCTGTCCATTCCAGTTAGTTAGTTAGTTTAGTTCATATATTATGCACCCCATACCCATCTTGTGGGCGGTAGTGGAAAGGGTTACAGAGGCACATAATGGGCTCAGGGACTGAACCCCACAATTCATTTAGCTAAGCAAGTTACAATCTTGATGAGCTAGTTACAAAATTCAAAGAAGTCGTCACATCAACAATGGGTTCGAGATCGACCTCAAGTACAGGTTCTGAATTAATACTGACATATGTGGAGAGCTAGTGTCAAAGATTATATGTTTGTCCTGCACACCGCCCCCCATTCCATGCCAGCCCATCCTCCAAACAAAGATCCAAAAGTGATTCCATGCTCCCGCCAAACCCCCTGCTTATGAATGAAAAACGGTTTACACACGACTCACAACTGCGGACGTCTGAACACTTCCGGAACAAGTGCTTCACTGACGAATTTTGTTCGAACCACAACGCTGTAAATGCTTCACCCACGTACTACAAATACAAATAATCGCCAACAGAACCTAAACACCTAACCTAACCTATGCCTATATATGCGCAATATGCTAATATATTATAATATTAATTTATATTTGAGAAAATTCTCGTTTTGAATGAACAACATGTAAAAATTTATGAATACGTCTGTGGGGTCGACCGCTGGATGTAATGGACTTGGGTCGAGAACGGGTTGAGTTTACGCCTAACTATACATAGAATTTTTTATGTATAATAATATTTTATATACCTAAATTTACCTGAGGGCCATTAATACTAGTGACCTCGACAAGGACAGGAAGCTGCCAGCTTAGCAAAGGTCCCCCCATTTGCCCTGATGATCTTTTCCAGCTGTATTTTAAAACAGCAGAGTTTGGTGTTTACGGCTTCGGTTTAATATTTATATATATGAGATCAAATCAATATTTAATACACAGTGTGTTAAAATTGGTGAATGCGTCTGGGGAGGCCGGCCGCTGCTTTAAACAGCCTAGTGTGAGGACGGGTTGTATCTCGAGTGCCTATACCGTTGATAGGTTAAGTAATAATTGTAAATAAGAAGTAATAAGATGCTTATCTTAACATACTAAGAAGGTTAGGTGAGGTCGGTGTTTTCTATGAAGCTTTTCAAGGTAAACTAAAATATTCACAATCAATTAGTATGTCTCATATGCACTTATTAAATAAGCCAATATTGCTAGTAAGCAAGTGCGAGAACGGGTTGCGAGTGCTGTGGGAATCTGCCCGCTCATACTGGTGATCGTTTCATCAAACATTGAAAACGGGCCGCCCCGTACCAATATAAAACTGACATGGTGACCGAAGTCCAAAACTCGCACTGTCCCAGCATCTCCCGGCATCTCAGCATCCTGCGATGTAAGCAAGATTACCTACGAGCATCAGTCGCTCGTAAGCAATCTTTAAACATTGGGAGGTGTCCAAACTGTAGCAAGACGATGCCACTATCACAAGACGATCTGAACACCAGTTACATTCTCTGTTTTCGTCTGAAGAACATCACAAAGAGCAACAGAGATAACAGCATAATCAGGCTTTGTTGTAAACTTCAATTTATTTATTTATTTATTTATATACAAGAAGGTACACTGGGTTTGTGAGAATACATAGCATTGAATTTACAATCTTGTAAAGCCACTAGTAAGCGCAGCGTTTCGGGCAGGTCCTTAATCTAACAGATAATTTTAAGTAGGCAAATTCTAGCAGAATTAATAAAATGATAACAGATACATTGCAAGAGCCGTGTTGTAGTGGCGAAGCACCTGGGAGAAAAAAACCCACCCTCACCGCGGCTCCAGCCTGACAGCCAGAGCAAGGTGGGTAACTGACACTTAAGCAGGGGGGAAGAAAGCTAAAACTGAGCACTGTACTAGACCCGGCGGTGCAGGCTACGGTAGCTCAGCCACCGGGCTGTGGTGGGTATGTGGTTGTTGTTGTTGTTGTTGTTAAAGATTCGATACCTGGAACAAAATGTTCCAAGTAACACTGACTATGAGGTATGCGGGCCGCTCCAAGCGGGCCGCTCCAAGCGGGCCGCCTGGTGGACCAAACTCTCACAAGTCAAGCCTAGCCTCGGGCCGGGCTTGGGGAGTAGAACTCCCAGAACCCCATCAACCAGGTATCAACCTCTCCAGTGTGAAATATTAGATACGGTGTGAGTTAGTAGCACAAGGTGGCAAACTATGAAGATGGACTTAGGTACTTTTTAATTACATTTCTGAATAAAAAAATAAATTGGACAATTTTTGTATTAGGGAATGAGTTCCATATTCTGAATCCTTTAATTTACATACAGTGTTTGCACAAGTTTAACTCTAGGAATTTCAAAAATATATTTATTACTGGTGTGATGCTCAAGGCTTTTATTACACCTGCTAAGGAAGAGTTTCAGAATCAGGATTAGGATATAGGAATGAAGTTTTGTAAGTGTAAATACCACATAAAATGTGTGTAGTGAGTGTATATTAAGTATGTTTAGGGATTTAAACAGGTGGTATCCATACAAATGACATTCAGAAAGTCTTGCTCTGTGTATTATGTTGCTTATAATGGATGTTACAACATTCTTAGTATCTATTTTGTATGTTGGGTTTTCAAAAGCTTGAAGAGTTGACTGTGAATCACAGAAAACGACTTGCATTCAGGAGTGTATTAGTACTGGCCAGTTGTAGTGCTGAGTGTATTAGTACTGGCCAGTTGTAGTGCTGAGTGTATTAGTACTGGCCAGTTGTAGTGCTGAGTGTATTAGTACTGGCCAGTTGTAGTGCTGAGTGTATTAGTACTGGCCAATTGTAGTGCTGAGTGTATTAGTACTGGCCAGTTGTAGTGCTGAGTGTATTAGTACTGGCCAGTTGTAGTGCTGAGTGTATTAGTACTAGCCAGTTGTAGTGCTGAGTGTATTAGTACTGGCCAGTTGTAGTGCTGAGTGTATTAGTACTAGCCAGTTGTAGTGCTGAGTGTATTAGTACTGGCCAGTTGTAGTGCTGAGTGTATTAGTACTAGCCAGTTGTAGTGCTGAGTGTATTAGTACTGGCCAGTTGTAGTGCTGAGTGTATTAGTACTGGCCAATTGTAGTGCTGAGTGTATTAGTACTGGCCAGTTGTAGTGCTGAGTGTATTAGTACTGGCCAATTGTAGTGCTGAGTGTATTAGTACTGGCCAATTGTAGTGCTGAGTGTATTAGTACTGGCCAGTTGTAGCGCTGAGAGCAGCTAGCTCTCTATGTGAGGGGCTGACCCAATTGTTTAGTCTTACACAAGTAGTCTGTAAACACCTAGTTGTGCTTGCGGGGGTTGAGCTCTAGCTCTTTGAACCCGCCTCTCAACTGTCAAGCAACAGTTTTTTTCTTTCCACGCACACACACAGTTTTCAGTTGAGAGGCAAGTCCAAAGAGTCAGAGCTCAACCCCCGCAAGCACAACTAGGTGAGTACACACACACACACACACACACACAGGAAGCAACCCGTAGCAGCTATCTATATATAACTCCCAGGTACCAATTTACTGCTAGGCAAACAGGTGCATCAGGGTGAAAGAAACTCTGTCCATTTGTTTCCGCCGGGTATCAATCCCCGAACCCTAGCACTACGAATATCGAGCGCTGTCCACTCGGCCGTCAGACCCCCACGTATCTGTGTCATCCCTCGTGTGTGTGAACTTACAGGCTGGTGTGGCGCCACCTGTTGACATTTAGTGGCATCAGTGTAAACATGGCGCCCGCTAGGCCGCATATTGTCGTGGCATCAGGTGTTCTTGAACAACTCGTCCTATTAAAATTAGAACGGCAATGTCAAATGTCTCCCCCCCCCCATGTATCCTGATGATTTTATGGAGTTTGATTTTGAACTGCAGCAGTGTTTTGTTTTTTTGCCATTTACGGCTTCGACTGGTAGACTGTTCCATGGGTGAAAAGCATCTGCTTTTTTTCATTCCTACCCTGTTGCTTATTGAGCCTGAAACCGATGTTCTTTGTCTCTTTGTCACAACTGACCTTTTCAAGAAGTTGTCTAGATCAGTATCCTACAATTTGTTCAGTATTCTAAAAAAAATTCGATGAGATCAGCGCTGTCATGCCTGGCCTGCAGTGTTGCCAGCCCTGTGACTATCAACCATTCCTGGTATGAGAGTGGACTTAGTTCTGGAATGATTTTTGTCGCCTGGTGTGAGACTTTCTGTAATTAAATGTTACAATGTTAGTAAGTCTAATACTTATCAGTTATTTAAAATGTCAATATACTCTATTGCCACTAAATGTACTCTATTGTACTCTGTCACTGTATCTAGTGCTACCCAATCCCCCAGTATATATATGTACTTAAGCCATACAACTTCACCATTGTAATCAATGCTATCATCTTATATCATGGTTGTTATAGTGCACACATATTTTACTGCATTATACGTTGAAATAATCCTCAAATTAGGCTACAATGTACATGTTGATAATCCTCAAAATTTACTATAATGAACCTACTAATCTTTGTCAAATTTTCTTACAGTGTACCTGTTAAAAAAAATTAAATTTTACTAGAAATTACCTACTTAAAATATGATCTGTTAGATTAAGGACCTGCCCGAAACGCTGTGCGTACTAGTGGCTCTACAAGATTGTAAAAACATCAATGCTATGTACTCTCATAAACCCAATGTACCTTCTTGTATATATATAAATAAAAAATAAATAAATATGCGTGCTTTGGGTGAGTAACCCAGCCTCACGAGTGTGTAGTCTTGAGTAAGTAACCCAGCCTCACGAGTGTGTAGTCTTGAGTAAGTAACCCAGCCTCACGAGTGTGTAGTCTTGAGTAAGTAACCCAGCCTCACGAGTGTGTAGTCCTGAGTAAGTAACCCAGCCTCACGAGTGTGTAGTCCTGAGTAAGTAACCCAGCCTCACGAGTGTGTAGTCCTGAGTAAGTAACCCAGCCTCACGAGTGTGTAGTCTTGAGTAAGTAACCCAGCCTCACGAGTGTGTAGTCTTGAGTAAGTAACCCAGCCTCACGAGTGTGTAGTCTTGAGTAAGTAACCCAGCCTCACGAGTGTGTAGTCCTGAATGAATAACTAACCTCTTGCCCTTGTCTCCTATCCCCCAGGCTTCCTCGGGGCTGGACAATGGAGGCTTCGTTGGGGACTACCCCGCCAGTGATCCCAGGAAAGAAGCCGCCATGGACAATGTCAGTGTTCCGTCAACCATTAACATTCTCGTTTACTGCTGATTTCTTCCTCCTTAGTTTATATGCAGTGTTCTTTATCGTTATATTTTATCCTTCCCTCAATTCCTTTTTATCCTCGTTCTCTTTCTCCTCATTTATATTTTTGCAGTTCACAAGTCTACGTAAATTTTAATATAATAAATTTTAGTCATATTAATTCACAGTTTGATCTTCGTATTACTTATTTTTCCTCTATTTCCTCTTTTTACTTACAAGTGGCGGCATATTTTTCGTTTTCATTTGTGACATCAAGTCCAACCACTTGGATTGGACGGTAGAGCGACGGTCTCGCTTCATGCAGATCAGCGTTCCATCCCCGACCGTCCAAGTGGTTGGGCACCATTCCTTTCCCCCGTCCCATCCCAAATCGCCAAAATGGCGCTTTCCCCCCTGATAGTTTCCTTCCCCCTTCACACACTAACGAGGGAATGGGGGGGGGTCCATTATATACTAATTAACTAACTATAACTCATACTGGCTGTAAATTGCTTAGTTTAGAGATTGCTGTGATCCAGTTTTTGTTCTTATATATCTATATATATACAAAAGTATGTCTGTCAGTTTATCCAAGTTTTTCCCGTAAAGTTTTAATAAAATTTTAGTGCTTAGTAATTTTCAATTTTCTGAAGGAGAGACGAGAGAGGAGGGAGGGAAGCAGAGAAAATGGGAGAGGGGAAAGAGAGAGGGGAAAAGAGCGGGAAAGAAAGATTGAGAGGGGAAAATCGTGAGAAAGGTGGTGGGAGATTAGGTGAGAGTGGGGAATAGCTAAGAGACAGAGGATGGGGGGAGTGGGGGAGACAGAGAGAAAGAGTTAGACCCGGGCACCGCCGGTTACGCCATCTAGCATACTATAAAAGACTTGATATATACGTAAAGCTACGTAACGATCTTCTCAAGACCTTAACTTGCTTATTTACATGAATTTTCGGGTCCCTGAGCCGAATTACCTGTGTAACCTCCTACACTGTGTGAAAGAGGTTACACACATGCGCCTGTGTAGGTTACACATGTGCCTGTGTAGGTTACACATGTGCCTGTGTAGGTTACACATGTGCCTGTGTAGGTTACACATGTGCCTGTGCAGGTTACACATGTGCCTGTGTAGGTTACACATGTGCCTGTGTAGGTTACACATGTGCCTGTGCAGGTTACACATGTGCCTGTGTAGGTTACACATGTGCCTGTGTAGGGTACACATGTGCCTGTGCAGGTTACATATGTGCCTGTGTAGGTTACACATGTGCCTGTGCAGGTTACACATGTGCCTGTGTAACCTCTTACACTACCGCCGGGAGTCGGTCGGCCGAGCGGACAGCACACTGGACTTGTGATCCTGTGGTCCCGGGTTCAATCCCGGGCGCCGGCGAGAAACAATGGGCAGTTTCTTTCACCCTATGCCCCTGTTAAGCAGTAAAATAGGTCACGGGCTGCTTCCTGGGGGTGGAGGCCTGGTCGAGGACCGGGCCGCGGGGACACTAAAAGCCCCGAAATCATCTCAAGATAACGTCAAGATAACCGCCCAAAGCATGGCTATATGGCGTCCGATTGCTCGTGGTGACCACTGACAACACAATAACTTAAACTAAACAAACCCCATTCAAGGGACTGCTCATTCCCTGCATGAATATTACCTGGTTGATACCTGGTTGATGGGGTTCTGGGAGTTCTTCTACTCCCCAAGCCCGGCCCGAGGCCAGGCTTGACTTGTGAGAGTTTGGTCCACCAGGACCAAAGCTGTTGCTTGGAGCGGCCCCCAGGCCCACATACCCACCACAGCCCGGTTGGTCCGGCACTCCTTGGAGGAATAAATCTAGTTTCCTCTTGAAAATGTCCACGGAATTGTCTTCCTGTGATACAATATATACATAATAAGATGTGTTTCTCTGTATGTATATACTTAATATATGTGAGTGCACAGGTGTGTGTGTGTGTGTGCACATAGGACAAGTAATTAAGCATATATAACGGATGTGTATACAGGGCGGCTCGGGCGTGGACAACCTGGCCTTCACAGACGGCTACCTCGCCTCCGTCGGCGCCTCAGGGGTCCCCCAGGACGCGGTCCTTCAGGTCAGTCTTCGGGGCCACACGTCATCAATGTTTATTATTATTTTAATTGTGTGTTCTGACTATCATAGTTCCCCTCAAATGTCTTTGCTCCGTTTTCCTTTTTCCCCGCATATTTGCTTAATTTCCTAAGCAAATAATATATAAACGAGTCAATATATCAATATATGAACGGGTCTTCTCCCTCATACTAGACCACGTCTCCCCCTCTCATTCCTGAATGCGTATCCACAGAACCTGCCAGAGGAGGAGGAAGAGCGGGAACAGTGGGCTCACCCAATAGAGTTCCTCCTGTCGTGCATCGCCATGTCTGTGGGGCTCGGCAATGTGTGGCGCTTCCCTATGACGGCCTACGAGAACGGTGGCGGCGCCTTCCTCATCCCCTACCTCGTTATCCTCACTTTTATTGGCAGGGTCAGTTGCGTGTAGTTGGTATACAGGTGTCTGGGTGTATGAGTATTAGGGCATGCAGGTGTCTGAGTGTACAGGTGTCTGAGTGTACAGGTGTCTAAGTGTAATTTTAATTCTCGTTTGTAATAACCTTCCTGTTTTTATATATTATATTAACCGTTGTCAACATTGTCATGTTCTTCGTAAGTGTTGTTGTGAAGGTCAACACTCTTATATAACTCTGGGCCCACAGCCGCTGTACTTCATGGAGCTGGCGATGGGGCAGTTCTCATCGTACGGCAGTGTCAAGGTGTGGAAGATGGTCCCGGCGGTGAAAGGTGAGAAACATGGCCCCAGAAGGTGGAGTTTGTGGTGAGAGGTGAGAAACATGGCCCCAGAAGGTGGTGTTTGTGGTGAAAGGTGAGAAACATGGCCCCAGAAGGTGGTGCTTGTGGTGAGAGGTGAGAAACATATCTACAGAAGGTGGTGCTTGTGGTGAGAGGTGAGAAACATGGCCCCAGAAGGTGGTGCTTGTGGTGAGAGGTGAGAAACATGGCCCCAGAAGGTGGTGCTTGTGGTGAGAGGTGAGAAACATGTCCCCAGAAGGTGGTGCTTGTGGTGAAAGGTGAGAAACATGGCCCCAGAAGGTGGTGCTTGTAGGTGAGAAACATGGCCCCAGAAGGTGGTGCTTGTGGTGAAAGGTGAGAAACATGTCCCCAGAAGGTGGTGCTTGTGGTGAGAGGTGAGAAACATGGCCCCAGAAGGTGGTGCTTGTGGTGAGAGGTGAGAAACATGTCCCCAGAAGGTGGTGCTTGTGGTGAAAGGTGAGAAACATGTCCCCAGAAGGTGGTGCTTGTGGTGAAAGGTGAGAAACATGGCCCCAGAAGGTGGTGCTTGTGGTGAGAGGTGAGAAACATGGCCCCAGAAGGTGGTGCTTGTGGTGAAAGGTGAGAAACATGTCCCCAGAAGGTGGTGCTTGTGGTGAAAGGTGAGAAACATGGCCCCAGAAGGTGGTGCTTCTGGTGAAAGGTGAGAAACATGGCCCCAGAAGGTGGTGCTTCTGGTGAGAGGTGAGAAACATGGCCCCAGAGGGTGGTGCTTGTGGTGAAAGGTGAGAAACATGGCCCCAGAAGGGGGTGCTTGTGGTGAGAGGTGAGAAACATGGCCCCAGAGGTAGCAGGTGCCGGCTGCGAAAGGTGAGAAACATGGGCTTTGTTTTTGTGTCAAGTTTATCGAAATGAGTTAAATTGTCGTGTGAGGAAGGTGCTCTAATATGACTTTATCACGCCTGCATCTATACATGCAGGCGTGCATAGGCATCTATATCTTGCCCGGAACACTGTGCGTACTAGTGGCTTTAGGTATTGTATGTACTGGCTCTAGCTATAAATCCAACATTATGTTTTGCAACTAATCCTCTATGTATGTACTTTTACCTGAATAAACATTCGATTCGATTTGATTTGATATTGTAATACATTAAATAATGTATTAATAATGATCTTACTGTAAAAAAAATCTTACTATCATTAATCAGGCGTTATTATAATAATATTTTAACATACAGATCAAAAATTAAGAATTTACAAATCATATTAGAAAATACATTGTACTAATGGTTGCGGGTAGTGGATATATACAGCCACTGACCGAGGAACACTATAGAGGACCCACATTCTGCTAGAATTCTAGTGAGCATTCTGCTAGCTGCCAATTCTGCTAGAATTTACCTACTTTAAATTATCTGTTAGATTAAGGACCTGCCCGAAACGCTGCGCGTACTAGTGGCTTTACAAGATTGTAAATACTATGCTATGTATTCTCTCTAACCCAATGTACCTTCTTGTATATAAATAAATAAATAAATAAACATACCCAGGGGACCCATACTGCTTCTCGGGTATAAGACCTGTACGGTTAGGAGCACACACATATATACAGGACCAGGTCCCTTGTAAAGAGGTATAGAGTGAAGGTGTGACAATATAGACACAGCCCCGCTCCTGTGCCAGGTAGGTCCACTACGGGCTCACCATAGCCCGTGCTACTTGCCCCGCTCCTGTGCCAGGTAAGTCCACTACGGGCTCATCATAGCCCGTGCTACTTGGAACTATTTGTTCCCAGTAGGTGAATCTATAACAACAATATAGACAAGTGGTATGACAGGTGTGGGGTTCGGCCAGATGATCGCCACCTGGTCTGTGGTGACCTACTACTGCTCCATCATGGGCCTCACCGTGTTCTACTTCGTCATGTCCTTCAACAAGGTGCTCCCCTGGTCCGTCTGCGACTACGACCACTGGGCCGACGAGAACTGCGTCGACGCCGCCAGCAACGCCTCCTACAATAACCTCTCTCAATCCTCGTCGGAACAGTACTTCTAGTGAGTTAATATTGTTATTTGCTTAGCTAAACGAACTAGAGAGTTCAGGTCCTGAACCGATTATGTGCCTCTGTAATCCTTTACACCGCCGCCCACCGGCTGGGTATGGGGTGCATAATAAAGAAAGAAATTGAATTAATATCTGCTTTTATGATTACTGAACTTTTAGACACTTTATGAATATGTAAACTTGTAAAATAATGTTATAGTCTTTGATATATTACATATACATGGTCTTACCGACATTTCAACCGAGTTGCCAAACTTACTTTTCAAGTACAGTAGAGTATACAGTACTTGAAAGTTTGGGCCTAATCATCCTGGGCGGGACAGAAATGGTTGGGCACATTTCCTTTCACCTAATGCACCTGTTTACCTAGTAGTTAGTAGATCAATGCTTTCAATCAAAGCTTTCAGTGTGCTTTAATGTACTTTAATATATCTACTAATTCTCTCTCAAATTTCTTACATTATACCTGTTAACATTTTATAAATTTTGCTAGAAATTACCTACTTAATTACACACAGAGATCACACTAACGTGATGCATCAAATGAACAAATCCACAAGGGCCGTGACGAGGATTCGAACCTGCGTCCGGGAGCTCCCTCTTCGCCCTTAATGATGTAAGGGCGAAGAGGGAGAACGGCCTATTGACATAGCTCGGGTGCAGGGGGGTGTTGTGTAAAATCCTGGTTTGTGCCTCGGAGAGGCTACGGGATCCAGTAAGTTCAGTAGAACTTCGGTTTCAACTCTTTTAACCCTGTCGTAGCTCAGTCGATTAAGGCAGCGTCTGGGATGCTCCCGGACGCAGGTTCGAATCCTCGTCACGGCCCTTGTGGATTTGTTCATTTACCTACTTAATATCATCTAAAATTACGTCCTCTAATTACTCAACACAAAGCTGCTATTAGGACAATATCCAACTCTGGCCCCAGGCATCACTCGGTACCCCTACTTAAATCTCTGAATATGTTAGACATTAAGTCACTGCACATTCTCTCATGTGTATTATACATATATAAAACGCTAAACTATAATGCCAATCCTGATCTCAAAAGCTTCATAGAAGGTTGTATCAGAACCCATGAGCATCACACCAGAAATAAATACAGTTTTGATATTCCTAGAGTACGACTTAATCAACTAGAAATGCTCTACAAATCAAGGGCCCAGAATGTGGAATGACCTTCCCAACCATGTTAAAGACTGTACCTCTCTCAACCAGTTTAAGTTAAAAGCGAAGCTATACCTAATAAATTCCCTGTAACCTGCCTTACCCTTCTATTGTCAACCAATGTCTGTTTTTTTCTTTAAAGAGCGCTGTTTGTCGACATAATTGTATTTGTGCTGCTTTTTCATCTATGTTTTCATTTCTTGTTTTCATTCTACTCATTATGCTCAATTAGTATTAAGCTTGTCATTTAAGTTTATCATGCCCGAAACGCTTTGCGTAATAGTGGCTTTAGGCATTGTATGTACTAGCTCTACCTATAAATCAAACAATCCTTGTAAATATTTATTGTATGTATGTACCTTACCTAAATAAAATTGTATTGTATTGTATTGTATTGTATTGTATTGTATCTGTTAAATTAAGGACCTGTCCGAAACGCTGCGCGTACAAGAATGTAAACACATCATGCTATGTACTCTCATAAACCCAATGTACCTTCTTGTATATACATAATTACTCACGAGTTAGTCAGCTTGTTTTGATTGATTGATTGTTTCCGCCGGAGGCGGCTAGTTTATTGTGCACCCCATACTCATCCTGTGAGCGGTAGCGCAAAAAGCATTACAGAGGGCACAAAGGTCTGTATCAGACCTTATCTTAGATTATTACACAGCTTGTTGTGGGGTCACATCCTGGGCGGGGTCACTAACTCCACCTTCAGGGGCCTGGGGACCTCGATATAAGCTTAAAGTGTATGAATACACTCTGACTTGTTGATGTGACGACTTATATTGAATTTTGTAACTAGCTCATCAAGAGTGTAACTTGCTTAGCTAAATGAATTGTGGAGTTCAGACCCTGAGCCCATTATGTGCCTCTGTAACCCTTTCCTCTACCGCTCACAAGATGGGTATGGGGTGCATAATAAATGAACTAAACTAAAACTTCTTGCCCCCCGACAAAATGAATTATTATTATTATTATTATTATTATTATTATACCTTAAGTCATATTTATTCATATATTCTTTATTTATTATGATGGCAGTTAGTAAATAGAGTGCACTTATAAAGGAAAAGTGGTGGAGGACTTCTAATCAGGGATTCACGAGTTAATGTACAACAACACAGGGGTAAGGCTATGCATTGTCACACCTGCTTCAGCACACACACACACACGTACACACCTGCTTCAGCACACACACACGTACACACCTGCTTCAGCACACACACACGTACACACCTGCTTCAGCACACACACACGTACACACCTGCTTCAGCACACACACACGTACACACCTGCTTCAGCACACACACACGTACACACCTGCTTCAGCACACACACACGTACACACCTGCTTCAGTGGTTGTTTCAAAGCTTTGTGGGTGCTAGGAAGACGGGACACCACGAGCGTAGCTCTCCTCTGTAACTATACTTGGGTAATTACGTACACACCTGCTTCAGTACACACCTGATTCAGCCTCTCTATTCACTCACCTCTCTCACCACCCCTTCACTTCCTCTCACCACCCCTTCACTTCCTCTCACCATCCCCTCACTTCCTCTCACCACCCTTCACTTCCTCTCACCACCCTTCACTTCCTCTCACTCTCCCACAGTAACTATGTGCTGCACGTAGCAGACAACATCGATAATGGTCTGGGTGTCCCTGATTGGCGGTTGACTCTGTGTCTGCTCTTCTCCTGGGTGGTGCTCTTCTTCACGCTGGCCAAGGGCGTCCAGTCATCAGGCAAGGTCAGTATCTGGCCAAGGGCGCCCTTCAGGTCGCTCCAGGTATCTGGCCAAGGGCGCCCTCCAGTCATCCAAGGGCGTCCAGTCATCAGGCAAGGTCAGTATCTGGCCAAGGGCGCCCTCCAGTCATCAGGCAAGGTCAGTATCTGGCCAAGGGCGTCCTGCAGTCATCAGGCAAGGTCAGTATCTGGCCAAGGGCGTCCTGCAGTCATCAGGCAAGGTCAGTATCTGACCAAGGGCGCCCTCCAGTCATCAGGCAAGGTCAGTATCTGGCCAAGGGCGCCCTCCAGTTATCAGGCAAGGTCAGTATCTGGCCAAGGGCGCCCTCCAGTCATCAGGCAAGGTCAGTCACCAAGCCATCCCAATGACTTCTGTTAAACAGAAGTCATCCAGATGGCTTCTGTTTAACAATGTCCAAATGCATCCAAATACTCTTAAAACACTTAGATTTATTGACATTGTCCTCAACTGCAGCAACAGTCTATATTGTGACGTTAATGTTTCACTAACGTCTTCACTACTGTTTTGCTGTATTTGTTATACACCTCAATGCATAATGTTGTGGTGTTGAATTGTGTGTGTTGCATCATTGCTTCATTCTGATCTGTGTTGCAGGTGGCATACTTCACAGCCTTGTTTCCCTACGTGGTGTTGTTCACCTTGCTGGGTCGGGGAGCCTCGTTGCCTGGGGCCGTCAACGGTATCCTCTACTTCATCGTGCCTCAGTGGGAGAAACTTCTTGACCCCAACGTGAGTAATACACTCGGGTTCGTTCTGACAGGTGTGATAACTGCGTCATAACTGATAACATTGTGGGGTAACCCCCTGCAGGTGTGATAAGTGCATCATAACTGATAACACTCTGGGGAAATCCTGCAGGTATGGTACGCCGCCGTCACACAGTCATTCTTCAGCCTCTCCGTCGGCTTCGGCGCCATCATCAACTTTGCTTCTTTCAATAAATTTAACCACAATGTGTACAGGTAATGGTCTGTAATTATTGTACTAAAGTGTAATATATTAGTGTTCCCACGTTGGGCAATATATAATTCTTATTAAGCCAATTGGGAACGTTTGTCGATTCTCGGAAGCCAGGAATATTTAGCCTTTAAACCTATCTTGAGATGATTACGGGGCTTAGCGTCCCCGCGGCCCGGTCCTCGACCAGGCCTCCTAAGTAAGGTCCTCTTGGTCCTCGACTAGGCCGATCTAAAGTAAACTTCAAATTCAAAAACTTTATTCGGTGACTTATGCCTTTGTAGTGTACAGATGAAAGGTACTGTGACCTTCCCAGTAGCAAAGGCACCTTACTCATCTGTAGGCCGGCTACTGTTGATCATTAGTAGCCAACTGAGCTACGTAGTGTTCTTTGGTCCATTAGTATTAGTATATATTATTATTTTTGTTGTTATTGCTATTATCATCATTTTTATTAACCTGAAGTTGAACTCTCGACAATTATCAGCCAAGAGCTGATAATCATGTCAAGAGCTTTCATTATTAATCTGGTTATTATCTTGAAAATAGTTGTAGTTTTGTCTATATGAAGAGCGCATAGCGTAATATTTAAAGGCTCAAGTTTGAAGATACGTGAAGGAGTGTCCTGCGTGTTGACAGGGATGCGTGGATTATTAGCCTGGTCGACACCTTGACGTCCCTGTTGGCGGGCTTTACCATCTTCTCCATCCTGGGCAACCTGGCGTACCAGCTCGACACAGACGTCAAGAACGTGGTGCGGGGCGGCTCTGGCCTCGCCTTTATCTCCTACCCGGATGCCCTGGCCAAATTCACCTGGGCTCCGCAGGTAATATTATTCGATACTAGTGGCCTCGATAGGAATTGGAAGCCGGCGGTTTGTCAAATGTTTTGTCTCATTATTCCTGAGGACGTTTTCCAGCTGGATTTATTTATTTATTTATATATATACAAGAAGGTACATTGGGTTTGTGAGAATACATTGGATAGTACAGTATTTACACTCTTGTAAAGCCACTAGTACGCACAGCGTTTCGGGCAGGTCCTTAATCTAGCAGATAATTTTAAGTAGGTAATTTCAATCAGAATTGATAAATGATAAAGATACATTACAAGAGAAAAATGAGATGAGAGAGATAAGTAGGTATATTAAAGCACATTGTTATATTAAAGCTCTGATTGATTACATTGACAGCTTGATTAGTAATTTAAACAAGGTTAATAGACACCATACAGCAGATTGACAGCACATATAAGACAGCAATGATCACAATGGTAAAGATGTTCAGAATGGGTACATAAAGATTGGGAGACTGGGTAGCAAAAGATACAGATAAACAAGATTTATAAACACCATACAACAGATTGGCAGCACATATAAGAAAACAGCAATGATCACAATGGTAAAGATGATGGATTTTGAACTGGAGTGTTGTTTTGGCATTTAGGGCCTCGGCCTCGGCTCCCCACAAGCACTGTTAGTCGAGTACTAATCCCCAGCAAGAGTCACCACACACACACCGCCAGAACAGGCGGCAAGAACAGAGACACCAGACAAGACAGAGCTCGCACAAGGACAACAAGGACCAGCGGGTACTGTAAGTTATAAAAGCTAATGTCAGAAATAATCAAACAATAATTACACCCATTGAGATGTTATTAAAACATTTGATGCCCCCTCTATAATCCGTTTGTAATCTCATACTTGTGCTGAGCTTCGGCTCTTTGGTCCCGCCTATCAACTGTCAATCAACTGGTGTACAGGTTCCTGAACTTACTGGGCTCTTTCGTACCAACATTTTAAACTGTGTACAGAGTCTGCCTCCTTTGTGCTACCCCTCACAGGCTAGTATGGAATGCCCAATAAACTAACCATTGCTGGTGGTACATGTGTACATGTATATATAACATTAACAATTGTGTACCTAGCGTCAAAAATTTTTATTTGCTTAGCTAAACGAACTAGAGGGTTCAGTTCCTGAACCGATTATGTGCCTCTGTAACCCTTTACACCACCGCCCACGGGATTAATATGGGGTGCATAATAAAGAAAGAAATTAAATTGAATTGGTGGCAACAATATAAGAGTAATTTGTTCAGTATTTGAAAGGTCTTGATGTGATCAGCCTGACTGTCCTGCCCAACTTACAACGAGAGTTGACAGTTCTGGGGGACCTTTTCTGCCATTCTGCGCTGAAACTATTTCAATGCAATTAATATTATATAAATATATTATGTATAACTCGTTGAATATCAGTTAATTATTGCACAGCTGTTTGCGGTGCTGTTCTTCCTGATGCTGTTCACGTTGGGTGTGGGGTCAGCAGCTGGTCTCACTGGCAACATCATCACCATCATCTGTGAACAGTTCCCGGCTATTCCTAAATTCTATGTCACAGTCATCATCTGCATCAGTGGTTTCCTCATCGGACTTGTTTATGTCACACCTGTAAGTCTATATTGTCTAGTTTTTAATCCTATATACCAGTTAATTATATTTTAATCAGTTGTAAACATTTTTAATTTGATTAACAAGCCTACGGTACAAACCAATATCCCTAATATAGAACTAGGGATCTAATTCTATATGATGGACTTGAATGTATTTATTTATATATATACAAGAAGGTACATTGGGTTTGTGAGAATACATAGCATAGTACAGTAATTGCACTCTTGTAAAGCCACTAGTACGCGCAGCGTTTCGGGCAGGTCCTTAATCTAACAGATAATTTTAAGTGGGTAAATTCTATCAGAATTAATAAAATGATAAATACATTGCAAGAAAAAAATGAGATGAGAGAGATTAGTAAGTATATTAAAGTACATTGGTATATTAAAGCTCTGATTGATTACATTGACAGCTTGATTGGTAATTTAAACAAGATTAATAGACACCATACAGCAGATTGACAGAATAGGTCAATCAGAATAGGTCAATAGGTCAGAATTGACAGAATAGGCAGATTGAATGTAGGTCAAGCACTGACTACAGTATAGTTATGAGTCGTGAGGTATAGTGGGTTAGTGAACTCGGGTCATAATCAAAATGTTCCGTATATGATTCCCATATTTAGGAGGCCTGGTCGACGACCGGGCCGCGGGGACGCTAAGCCCCGGAAGCACCTCAAGGTAACCATATAGTGAGACAGAACGTTTGCAAAACGTTTCCTTTCACCTGTTGCCTCTGCTCACCTTGCAGTAAATAGGTATACCTGAAAGTTAAGCAGCTGGTGTGGGAATCGCATCCTGGGAAGATCAGTAGTTGGCGTAGGCTGGGAATCTCCTCAAGTAATTACACTAGTGAATTTATATTTACGTTAATTTATATACTTCGATAGCAATTTGTATAATAATGAGTGGACTGTATTTCTGCAATAATCTCATAATCTCACAAATCGATCCTCTACACATTAGGGGGGGTTTAATAGTTTATATATATATGCAGCCAATCAAACTACAAAATTAACTACATACATTGAAGAGGTTCCTTATCTTATAGTACAGCAGGTTAGTCCACCAGGTATAACTAGGGTGTAGACACCTAATTATCCTCTTTGAGGTAGCTTCCATATCACCCAGTAACTGGTGCACAAATCTTGCATCCTCGTCTTGACCTGTCAAAAGTGCGCTAGCTGTGAAGCCAGATACCTATATATGACAAGTATATCAGAGAAAACAGTACATGGAACATGAAGACCTGGCTTAATTACCTTTAGTATGAGGCGATTTCGCGTTCTAACCGGGTCACCCTATATAATGACATTAATGGCCACTAATGATAGATAATGGGTTTCGGAAAGAACACTTAACTTGATTTGTTGACAGCGTGTTGACAGATGGTACACCTTTGGTATCCATAACACTACGTCCAAGTAAAATTAACAGGAGCCGAATTTGCTCCCGTGTGAGCCTCTGGTCTCTATATAAACAACAATGGCTGCCCTCCTTCCTCCAATCTGACGCCTGGCTTACATTGTCCAGATTTCAGAACGTGATAGAAGGGTCACATTTACTCTACTTTAATATTGATAATTAAGTTAATTTATATGAGATGTTTTTATGATGGTAAAGTCCAAAGACTAATGTATTTAAGAATAATTCCCACCAGAATAGCTGGTGAATTATAATGGTATGTGGTGATGATATCCCGTTTTCTTTAGACGGTAATTCCACTACAGGTTACGTTTTCTATGGGTAACTTGTTCGTAACACAGCTCTTATCTGTCTGTATGATATTATTATTAAATGGTGTCGGATTTTCCGACATAATTCCCCAGGGGCTGCTCACGGGTCGAAGTCCTCTTTAGAACAGACGAACACCGATACTCCTCCTTCGGATTATTAGATTAATTTGATGTTAGTAGTTAGTAATCACACATTTGTGTGTCTGTTCGTACAGGACGGATGTCCCGTACTAGAGTTGCAGGGGTTAGAAGTCTAATGCGATTTCATTTCCCTGTCAACTCTTGAAAGGCTAATATTCAAGCCTTATTACATATTATTTAACCCAGAAGACTGGATGAGATCAAGTACTACAGTCAAGTATGATTCAGGGACTGCAGTGAGATCAGTGACATTAGATATAACTTGAAGTTTCTTCAGGTAACTGGTCACTGATATGTAAACACTGAGGCCCATGGAATACATCTTGATTAAATAATAAATGTATCAAATCAGTCATCAGATTTATTAGGGTTTAATTTAGTTAATTGATTCAGAGGATTGAATACCTCATCATTAAAGTAAAGTATGGTTCTGAGACTGCAGTGGGTTCAGTGACATTGGTCGCAGTGACTTGTAGCTGTTTTAGGCTACTGTTCACTGATTTGCCACTGAGGCCTCATGAACTCATCTTCAGCTTCAAATGATGATACTAACATCAACCTCTGTTACTATAGTCAGCTGTAATCTCCTTAGTATAATGCTACTGGAGAAATATAATCAGCTGACAAATTTAGATTTCTACTGGTATTGTTTATCTGCAGGCATAGGTCTCCTCAGGCTTGATACTGGGCCTGAGAGTAATTTACCTCCTGCAGAGTTTAACATGGTTATACCCTGATATTTAGTAGGGCTACCGATGAATCGATGACAATAGTCTGTCCCTACAAGGAGACCGAAGTCGGTGAGGTGATCAGACTTAATATTATCTGCCAATTTTATTCCTCTATTTCTCAGGAATTTGGCTGTTGCTCTCAGACCTTGAACTTGTAGGTCTACTGGTATTTTGTCCACCACAATGGCTTGTACTCTACAGACGTACCTGCCTAAACGTACTGATGGTTGTACCACCTGGTAGACTTGAGGTCCTGCATCTGTTACAAACCCTGAGATGTTGAATGACATCTGGGCTACAGGCCTTAATTGTAATTCATCTGCTAACTTTTTAGTGATATATGTTCTCTGGGATCCTTGGTCAAACAACCCACGGGTATGGACCTTGGCCCTCTTATTCAGGATGGTAATTTGGGCAGTAGGCAAAGTCGTATTACCTTTAGACTTTGCCGATTGGACACTCTTTGTTTGTTGCACCTTGCAGTACTGTACTGTGGTGGGAATGCTATCTTCCACCTTGGGTCTTGAATACGTTAATTTCGTATATTTGCACAGTGCTGCATGGTGCCTACCTCTTCTACACCTGTTACAGGTGTTGAATTGGGTATCACAATAGTCTATGTTGTGTGACTTGAGACACCTCGAACATCTCCCTAATTCCTGGAGTCGCTCAATACGAGTGTCTCTGGTTGGATAATTAGCACAACGGTATGTTGAATGTTTCTTTTTGCAGAACATACATGTCCCCCAGCCTACTGCACGTTTGGAAGTTACCGGTTTGGGTGAACTAGTAACAGTAGGCTTGGAGGATGCTGCTGCATTGTCAGATTTTCTGCAACTTGATGTTTGAGTAATTGGTTGATGTTTATTTGGGGTGGTTGTTTTACCCTTTAATTGACTATTATTTTCTATTTCTGAAGGCTTGCAAGAGGCTTTAACTTCCTCATTTGCTCGTCGTTTGTTTATGATGGAATGTAAACCTTCAGCGATGTCCTGTACTGTCAGGATGGTGTTATGTTGATGTGCATATAATTCATCTAGTATATCGCTGGACAATTTTCGTTGAAGGACTACTTTGGTCATCCATTCACTAGTAGTTATATCAACCTTAAGACTGAATATTCTTAGTAGTGACTCAAACTCCATGCTGAAGGATTGTAATGAGTCAGCAGTCTGATCAGGTTGAGGTAAATCCAGCAATTGTAGTACTAGATGTATGACAGTTTTCTCATTGCCAGCATTATTCCTAGGAGGCTGGACTGGGAAATTAGTGCTGTCGCTATTTTCATTTACATTTTCTACTACTGGTTCAGCTTCACCTCTAGTTTGGAGGCATGTTAACTTAGTAGCTTCAGGTATTGGGTTTTCAGAAACCACAGAGACTGTGGATAAATTGTCTGAAAACTGCTTAATTTCTGGTGGTATAATATTGGGTGAAGCTGTAGTGGGTGAAGCTTTACTGGGTGAAGCTTTATCCTTGTTGATTAAAGGATCTAATCTGGCTTTACATTTATTCTCAAAAAGATCCAGATCATCCATAACATTATCTACTTTATTTGGTGTACTTGCTATTTGTTCTGATTCAATTATCCTGTGTAAATGTTCCAACCTGGCTTGAGTTTCTTCTTCATATTGTGCAAGGTCAGACAGGAATGGTTCCACATCTTCAACTACTATGTCGTCGTCGTGGACCTGATTTTGGTAAGATTTCCTATTTGCTTTCAATATATGCAATTGGGTTTGAATCTGTAACAGTGGTATTTTCAACCGACGATAATTAATTACAGGCTCATATAACAACTGTTCATATTGGTTGAGATCTCTTGTTAGTTGGCGTTTGCTTGATATTAAAGCACGCTTTGCTTTCTGTGGATTAGTCATGGTGACTTGTTAATTGGGCACCACTGGCTCATAAATTGTGAGCAAGTACTAATGGTAGCCTAGGGTAAAATGCACTCACTAGGCAATAATCCTACCTCTACTAGAGGTTAGCACTTAAAATTAATACACATTATATATATACAATCATCCACACTAATGATTTGAGTGATAAACCAGTGTCACTGGAAGTACCTTTAGGTTAGCTCTTCTATATCACCCTAGGATGGAATAGACACTAATTAATCACTCAAAGGTGTAATGATCATAAGTAAATTATTATATATACAACTCAACTTGAGTTGATAAAAATTACACCCAAAATAGGGTCTGCACCATTCATTAATGGTGTTAGGTTGTTGAATATAGTACAACTGACTATGGGAATAATGGGACTAGGAAGAGCAATAATAGTTCAACTAGTCAATGGTTAATATCCTACCCTGTTGTGGGTTGGCAATTAGTAAATATTATATTGAGAACACTAGTGCAGTATATATTAAATAATTCTCT